TGTAATAAGGAGCCCCAAAACTCTATTATTCTAACTATCTAAGCCCCTACATTATATGGGTAGTTCTCTAAATTAGGGTCCCTTTTTAGGTCCCCAATATAGTACGGCACCCTTATAAAAAGGAGCCTAAAAGGGATCCTAATATAGAGAACTACCCACAAGTACCTGCAGCCATACGTTCTTAGCCCCCGCTGAACTGGTGCCAAACCCGGTAGAACTGCAAAAAAGCTTGCAACATCCCATGTAGAACCCTCGCAGAACCCTCAGAGGACCTCGTATATAACCATACTTACGACGTCCCGTGATCCTTTAAGCGAAGCCTAAGTCCTTTGCAAAGAAAACCCTAAGCCCTAAACCCTTTACAAAGAAAGCCCTAAACCCTAAATCCTTTGCAAAGAAAGCCCTAAACTCTAAGCCCTTTGCAGAGAAAGTTGCATTCAAAACTTACCGCTCCGGCGGTTTTGGCTTGGGGGCAGAATCCGAAAGTCGGAATTAATCCCAAGGCCTCAGTTCGGGCCCTAAACCCTTAACCCCTAAACCCTCAAACCCTTAAACCCTAAACCCTAAACCCTTAAACCCAAAACCCTTAAACCCTAAACCCTTAAATCCTAAACCCCTAAACCCTAAACCCTAAACCCCAGCCCCTAAACATGTGGAACTTAAGCCTTAGACGGCAGAGCCGAGGATGACGCCTCGGGACAAAGCTCCAAGGCGACGCGTGATGTCGGGTTCTGCGTTTCGGTATACCCGAAAGCTTACGTGTTTGGTTTCCTTTGGGGTTTAGGGTTTTTTCTGAAAATGGCCAAGGTCTTTTGGGTGTTGCAGAATGCTGCACGGTGTCATTCGTGGTTTTTGGCTTGAGTCTTTTTTGCGAGTGTGCAGTAGATTTGAATTATGTCTAGCAAACTCTACAGTGTGAGGCAAGTCGCCGCCCGGGCGCGATGGTTCCCTAAGTTTTGGCACAGGCCGAACAAGGGACATTGTCCTTGATTTACATTCGCACATTCGAGAAATCACCGCACCCGCGGTTCTGAGTAGACAAGCATCCTGGATACATGAAGCCCCAACCCTAAACCCTAAACCCTAAACCCGAGACCCTTAACCCTGAACCCGAGACCCTTAACCCTAAACCCTAAACCCGAAACCCTAAACCCTAAACCCTAAACCCTAAACCCTAAACCCTAAACCCCAACTCCTAGGCCGCCTAGGCCCTAAACCCCACAAGTCAAAGCTTGCACTCCGAAGCCTCCGCATCCCCTCAACGAGCTAAGAGGAATCTACTACAAAGGAGGGTTTAGGGTTTAGAGTTTAGCTCTAATTCATTAAAAGCATCTACTACACTCTACTATACTGTTCCAACAAAGCGGCGGAGCATTTTGTGTATTACGGTCTGTTTGAAGCGGGGCTCGTTTGGGGTCTCCATGTTATTTCGAGGCAGAAGTTCGGCTGCGCGACGTCCGAGTTTTTGAATTCATATTCGGGATCAGGAGCCCGAGTTCTGAAGCCTTGAACCCCGAATTGAGGCCTTAAACTCTGCAGCTCTAAGCAAAGAGCTCTCAAAGGCCTTCTTCGTGACGAGTTTTTGTTGCAAAAGCCTGCTCGCGAGGCTGGCTTGCGGAATTTTCTCCAGCGTATGCAGACGAGTGGCCTGGGTGCTGGCGGTCAGGCCTCCATCTTTTTCTAGCTACATACCTGACCCTCCCACCCAGCCACGTAATTACCTACCTACCTACCTACCTACCTACCTATCTACCTACCTACCTACCTACCTACCTATCTACCTACCTACCTACCGACCAACCGACCGACCTACCTACCCTACCTACCTACCTCCCTACCTTACCTCCCTACCGACCTCCCCACCTACCTCCCTACCGACCTACCTACCTACCTACCTACCTGCTACCTACCTACCTACCTACCTACCTACCTACTTACCTACCTACCTACCTACCAACCTACCTACCTACCAACCTACCTACCTACCTACCTACCTACCTACCTACCTGCCTACATACCTACATACATACATACATACATACATACATACATACATACACAAATACACACACACACATATATATATATATATATACATAATCCTATGGTACGACAGCCCGTTATACTAGTCTTCTGCGGTTATCCCATGGACTCGAGATGGGGGTCGTCAGCACTGTTTCCTGGCCTTTTAAGCGATCGCGGTCATTCAAGGCGTTTCGAGCTTTCTGTTTTCCAACTTCACGAACTTCCTACACCACGGCCCTAAATCCTGAAACTCTCAGCCCCCCAGCCAAATCTTGAAACCTTAAACCTGACCAAGACACTTGGGATGACGTAAAGTTGCATGCTTAAATCTGCGTCAAGTCATCTAGTACGTGTGAGCATATCAATATAGGTGAAGCCCTGGCCCAATCAAGACGCTATACTTGCAATCCAAAGCTGGTCCATGAAACCTGTCAACATCATGGTCCTTTTGGGCCACCTTTTATAATCTGCTCTTAACACGGCGCCGAAAAGTTTGGGAGCCACGGAAGAGACCCCAAGTTGGACAACCACCGGCCATCTCGGCTCAAAGACCGCTGGGTGCGGAGAGCTGGATTGTTGCTTGGTAATGTAGCATGTGCAATGCTTCCATGGAGTCGGCACGTATGTGAGCATGCGGCCGGAACGATTTCACTCCTTCTCCAGCAAGGGCCTCGGTTGACGAATTCAACCCTAAACAACCCTAAACCCAAAACCGTTTGAACAAATAATAGTGTTCCTAACTAGCGTTCCTGATATGATGTAGTTAAGCATGCCCGAAACCCTTTTCTAATCACTAAAACACCTTTTTTGCAACCCTCATTTCAGGATTCTTGGAAACAGACTCCGGAACCTCAAACAGACTCCGGAATACTAAACATCTACACACCACGAGTTTCTGTGCATCTTCGGCAAAAAGCTTTGGGTGTTTGGTGGGCGGGCTGGGTCGGCGGGCAGTTAAAGAGTGATATAGGGGCCTTGATAATTCGAACAGGGTTTGGGTGTATTATAAAAAGGAACCTCCAAACCCTAGTGTTATGATGCAGGTCCCTACAGAGGGTGGGTGGCTTTCGGCTTGGCTGGTGGGTGGGCATCCTTTTAGGGTTCCTGTGCATCTTCGGCCAAAAAATCAACTCGTTCGTTTCTGTGTTTCGTGTGCATTGAAAGAAGCAGAAGACGGCACCAAACAAACAAACCCCTAAAGCCCAGCAGGACATCCCTTCTGAACCGACTCCTACCCCGCTCTGCAAACTACATACCAAGCCCCCTATCGGGTCCCAACGTGGCCCCATTGTTCAAGAAGTCGGACATATCAGAAAATAGGGGACCCGATGAGTTTCAGTAGGGAACCCCATGCAGACCCTGTCCCTTCTGGAAAAATCATGAAACATCCCCCCAAAAGGACACATGATAATTTACCACTCCACCCCACCCTTCCCCCCACCACCACATTGCTCGTTCAACAACTTGGACGCTGAACCTGAGGTGCGCTGGTGAACGTGAGCACTACGACTGAGCTCCCACAGAGCCTTGGCCGGCCTTTGAGTAAACTACCTACAGTCTCTGTTGTAGTTCGTTTCTTTGTTTAACCTATTGTATATTTAGAACGTAACCCCAAAAAGAACGACAATGGAAACTAAAGGTACTGTAATATCAAAGCCTGAGTCATTACCAGGTAAACCGGCTTTAGAGGGTTGCAGTGTGTTTTGCAGAGGGTCCCCACTAGTTTACATGTTGGAATAGGGTATTGTAGTCGCGACTCGAAGGGATTCGTATTACTGGGTATTCTTCAGGGTTTACACGACCGTATAAAACCTTCTTTTTTAGGGCTCCCTATGTCCGTATGTCCTTGAAAAGGTAGGTTATTTGGGGTCCAGGTTGGGGTTAGGGGACTCCCCCATAGCAAAGGAGGAGGTAAGAAGCAGGGCCGTAGCTAGGGCCTCTACTAAAATAGCCCTGTATAGGACGACCCATGCTCCCTGTAGAATTGGCGGTTTTCGGTGCTGAGGGTGTAGAGTTGAAGGTCTGGTGGCTTAGGGTTGAAAATTTGTGTTTAGGGATCTGGGTTTGGGGGGTTTTAGGATGGTATATTCCGCAGACCTATCCCTGGACCTTGCCCTTCCCTGATCTTCGAATGGTTTTGAGGGTTTGAGAGAAAAACAGCAATAACACCTGTCCGAGCGGGATATACAGCAGGGCGTACGGTGTTGGTACGTATAAACATCCCATATCTATCTGCCCATGCCCAAAACCCTACCCTAATTAAGTCTTTTATCAGTTAACATCAAATCAGTACAAGACAAATATACGTCGATCGTAAAGCCCTAAACCCTAAACCCCAAACCCTATAAGCCTCCAGCTCTTGACATGAGCATCTGTCAAAACTTCCGTACATGTAGTTAAGAGTAGGGTAGTCGTAGAATGTCAGATTTGGCCAGAACCCTCGAAAAGCGACAGAACCCCCAAAAGCGATACGATCAACCAAGATCATATGTTGTGACATTTCCGTGCTGCCGCGGCATTTATGCCTAACTTTCCGTGCGATACGTGGCTACGCGATCAATCCCCTAATCGACACCAAGCCATACCCTAATCGATACCCACCAGATCGTTCCATGAGCCACTGCCCCATCTGATAGACTCATCATTGTTACTGTTGATCACGCTACCATAGCAGTGAGATCACTACCTTTACTATGACCCATATAATTACGTACTGCTACTTTCGCTCTAAACTTACTACTCGTACTACTACGATTATGGATCTCACCAAAGTAAAGCGATACCCCACAGACAAAGTTGACAAGATCCCCGTAAAGCGATAAGATCCGCCCAGATCATCCATGACCAGGCCTGAAACAATAACCCTAAACTCCTAAACCCTATCCCTAAACCCCTAAACCCTAAACCCTAATATACCCGCTCAATATGCGGGCCCCCCAAGCCTACAACCCACGCTTTAGGCTTGCTGATGTCAACTTCGAAAGGCCCAAGTTTCATCAGGCCCAGAGATTAGGGTTCAGGGTTTGGGGTTCAGCGTTTAGGGTTTAGGTTAAGGGTTTGGGGTTTAGGGTTTGGGGTTTAGGGGTTTAGGGTTCTGGGTTCAGGGTTTAGGGTTTAGAGATCCGAGATTAGGGTTTAGGGTTTAGAGTTTTAGGGTTCAGGGTCTAGGGCTTAGAGAGCCGAGTTTGTGGATTCTCAAAAGATGCTTAGTGCACACGTTGTACAGAGTAGGGTTTTTACTCTCGGAAGGATGATTGTGGCTTGTACAAGAGACTCACAACATATACTTTGGGAATGGGTTCTGGATTTGGAGCTTTAGATTTGTGCTTTAGGAGGTTAGTAGACCTTGTTGTGTGGGCTTTGGGGTTTGGGCTCAGGAGTGTCAGGCTTTTACAGTCTGCAACTTAGAGAGTAGACTGCAACTTAAAGCTGCTAAAAGTTTTAGGGTATAGGGCTCTGGGTCCCCACACCCCCAACCCTAAGCTACTGACCTCCAATGTTTGTGTCTTCAAATGCTTGAAATGGCACTCGTGAGGGGCACGAGGGTGACAACAACGTTTGTTTGATTGAAGCGTGCTGTAATCAGAAACCCCTACACCCCATGGACCCCATCCGTTATTCCTCCCTTCGAAAAATTAGTTCCGAGTGTATGAGAGGTTGTGGGTTTCTGTTTTTGGTTTGTCCTGCTAGCTAGGGAAGTTTACTTGAAGTTGTCGTAGCAGGATCTAGTACACAACAATACACAATACGCTTCTCTCATACCGGCAGCTTATAATCATAATCTGAGCTCCTGAGCACAAAACCCAGTCTTTCACGCTGAGCAACTGAAGCCCCTCTGCCAGTACCTGAAGGCCCTTGAGCTGTCAGTTTCTATCATTACGCTTTCGGGGCAAGCAGACTGTGGTATATCGTTGCTGACTCCCCATCCAACAGCCCAAAGTAGGTCCTATCTGCAGACTTTATAGACCCCTTTTATCCTTATTACCCGAAGTACACTGTACGGCCCCCTACAGTGTTCGTCAACTGCTTCTGTCGCAGACTCGCAGTTACGAGGGTCCCTCTTAATGATGGTGGGCTCTTCTCGATCCCAACACTCCCAGAGCCTCACACCCCAATCGCAAACCGTCCAGCCACTGCACAACACCCAGACTCGCAGCAACATGCGAAATCCCCTAAAACTCAATGCCATAAGCCTGAATTCACTCAGAAACCCACCTCACACAGGAGAGCCAACAGTCATCCCGCAAGAAGGAACCGACAGACAGAACCACACATCCGAACGCTTGCTTGACGAGGCCGTCCCGTTCTGGTTCTGGATAGTTGGCGCGCTGGGGGCACTCCTACTGCTGCTCTACAAGACTCTTGGCTTCGTGGTCTACGGGTTCAGACTGGGATCTTCGGCGTAGTTGGAGAGTCGGGGGACCTAGTAAGTAGGTGATAAGTAGACTTATAAGTACCCTAAGAGGGACCCTATTTGGGGTTATGATACCGATAAGTCTATAAAATAACCACTTACTAAGTCCCCCGACCCTCCAAGTAAGGGGTCCGCTCGCACAACTAGGGGTTTGCTAGGCGCTAGGTCAGACTGATCGGACTCGCCGGCTTCTGTTTCTGTGCCTGGAGCCCTTGCGCGTTTTCTTCGTGGAATTAATTATTAAATACCTACATTACTTTGGGGGGTCCTTATTGTAATTCTACTCTAAAGGGCTCCAAAACCCTATTCTAACTATTAAGGCCCCTACATTACCAGAATGTACATGTCACTGTCGTGCTAAACCTCCAAAGCCCAAGGTGAACCCCACGACCTTATGCCTTCACGCCCCTGAACCCTAAACCCTAAGCCCCTAAACCCTGAACCAAATCCTAAAACTTCAGCCCCAAAGCCAAGCACCGAAACCCCAAGAATCCATGCCCTGATGCCCTAATATAGATGGGTGGTTGTCAAAATTATGGTCCCTTTTTGGGTCCTTATTATAATACGGCACCTATTATTTAGGGTAGCCCAAATGGGACCATAATTTGGACAACTACCCAGATGACTCGGCAGTTTAGTTTAGTAGATACCTGTATATACCTTACATGTATCTATGCTACAGAACCCACCTATGTCAATCACATGTTTTCAGGGGGTGTGTTTAAGATTCATGAAAATCTTGAACCGCCAAATGAGGGAGCGCGTTTAAGACATATGATGAACCGGAATCGCCGAAGGAGGGGGCATGTTGAAAGCGTGTTTAAGACATATGATGAGCCGGAGTCGCCCTAAACCCCTAAACCCTAAACCCTAAACCCTAAACCCTAAACCCTAAACCCTAAACCCTAAACCCAAATGAGGGGGACGCTATACCTACAGTCTCAATTCTAGTTCATTTTTTGGTTTAACCAATTTTGTTTTCAGGATCAGAAAGGTAACCCCCAAAAGGAATTATAATGGCGACTATATAGTGTCCTAGGAGCCAGTAGCCTTTTCAGCGGGTTGCTGTTCCCTACAAGCCCGTAGCTACTTTTGTTACTCGGCTTCTAGGGCCAGGGCTCCGAGAGTTTAATATAAGAAGCCCTAAAGCCCCACTTCAAGCCTTGCTTAACACAGCCTAGGTTTAGGGTTCAGGGTTTAGGATTTAGGGTTTAGGGTTGAGGATTTAGGGTTTAAGGTTCAGGGTTTAGAATTTAGGGTTGAGGGTTGAGGGTTGACCATACATCCCCAAATTGTACGACCCTAGGCTACCCTAATAGCCCAGAAACCTCTCGGCATGAGCCCTAAACCCTACACCCTAAACCCTAAACCCTAATTTTATAATAGCCCAGAGACCTCTCGCCATGAGGACGGTTCAGCTTCTCCGCTCGGGAAGGTCCAGCCGCAGCTTCGCAACTCGCATGCCTTGGGACACGAAGCCTTTTAGGGTTTAGGGTTTAGGGTTTAGGGTTTCGGGCCTTAAAGACGAAATGAACCCTAAAAGGGTTTAAGGTTCATGTACCATACAGGAATTCATAGTTGAAGGGTATAGGGCCAGTACTTTTAAGGGGCTTTTGGTCCGTAAGGATTACCCTAGGTTCCCCAGTAGTACCCTTTTGCCCTTTTTGTTCTAGGGAGACTTCTATTAAAACCGAACGTTTAGGGAAAAGGGTACCCTCATTATAAAGGGTTTACTGGGGAACCTAGTACCCAAAGGTTTAGGGTTCATGCGGGGGGTTTAGGGTTCAGGTTGTATACCTTAAAGGACCAAAAGCCCCTTAAAAGTACGGGCCTATACCCTTCTACTATGAATCCTGTATCGTACATGAACCTTAAACCCTTTTTTGGGGTTCATTTCGTCCTTAAGGTGTGCTAAATAGGGTGATATGGGAATCGCCCGAATCAGAACTGCTGACCACAGCTTTCTGATTGTTAGGGGCCCCTTAGTTCAGAGGTTTTAGGATTTAGGTTTCAGGGTTTAGGGTTCAGGATTCAGGGTTAGGGTTTAGGGTTTAGGGCTCAGGGTTTAGGGTTTGGGAGGCCAGGCATCAGGGTGTGGGATTTGCCCGAAGCCAGCAAGGTAGCTTAACAGAAGCTCCATGCCACCGTGAGCCCTGAAGCCTAGACCCTTAAACTTCGGGGTTTGTCAGTGTTAGTAATTAATCAGAAACCCTAAACCCTAGACCCTAAACCCACAGTAAGTAGGGTTTGGGGTTGAGGGTTTGCTTCGGTTTAGGGTTTAGGGTTTAGGGGTTAGAGGACTGCCTTTAAAGCTCAAGAGTCATATTCCCTGTGTGGGGCAAGGGTTTAGGGTTTAGGGTTTAAGGTTTAGGGTTTGTTCACTTTGTACCCTCCACCCTCGACCAGAAATGGCGGCTCAACTCTGTGACCTAAGCCTTAACCTAACCCCACACAATCACCACCGATGCGACAAAGGAGCTGGACTTCACTTTGGCTCTCCGATCAGGCTGGCAACACTGGATTTCTCGTGCGAGATCAATTTTACAAAGTTTCGCCCTCACAGATTAAAGCTTTGGGGCTTCAGTGTGTAGGGTTGGACTCAGAGAAGCCTTGCCCTAAGGGTGCAAAGCAAGTATTGATAAGCTACCTGGGTTTTGCGATGGTAGCAATGTGTATGGTGCGTAGTTCGGGAGTAAACCGTAAACCCTACACCCTAAACCGTATACGATGTGAGCCGTAAACTCCCCGAATCACGAGACCCCTAAGCCCGAAGTCCGCATACCGAGACTCTAACTCGGGACTGCTGCTTTCTTGCTGGTCCTTTAAACGCCTAGAAATATCTATGAAAAATCAATAATACTTTTATAGTTCTAGTAGAAAGCAACACAAAGCCTCTTTCTAATTATTATGTATGGCCCTATATGATAGCTTCATATAGATTCCCTAAAATGACCCTTGCGGAAACTCTTATACAAGTCTTTATCGGAATCATTCAAAAGGAATACTCTTCAAAGGGCCCTAGATTCCTACTCGGACAACCAGGCCTCACAACCAAATGCTGAAGCGAATCCCCAACTCCCCAACCAACCATTGAGTCAGATCCCCAAGCCGCCTCAAACACTTTAGGGTTTAGATATTGGGGTCTAGGTCAAGACCAAACCCCAAGCCCAACGCTGTAGATCCTGAACCCACAGCAGAGGCAGGTGCTCGCTAAGTCACTGACCACTTTATCATTTGGGGTTTCGAGGTGCAGGTTTTTCAGTCCCAAGATTAGGGGCTTACGACTTCAAGGTTCGGTAGGAAAATCATGCATTCTGAAGCAGAAGACCAGACCTTAATTATGGGCCCTGCGTGATAGCATCCTTATTGCAAGGACCCTTGCAGACGGTACGGTGTTCGTGTGCACGGCCGACGTTTGTCTCCAACGGCGCAGTACATCCTACCTGCAGCCCAAATGCCAGCGTTTTTGACTGTTGTGCGCCTTCTTAATTACCAGATAGGTTTTTGGGGCTACGGGCGGACCCTAAACCCTGCCCTGCCAGGTGTCATGTTTCTTGTGATGCTGTTTCCGCTGACGCAGCCGGCCCTGCGCAATGTCAACGAGAACATCCAGATTGTGCAGCTTTGAGAAAATTAGCAGTGCGTCTATGCAAATCCGCAGATCCAGCTAAGCACTCGAAGCCCGTGAGTACCCCAATAGAATACCCTAACTGGCCAAGTCGTTGTTTGACATTGTGAAGCTCGACCACATACTAACCTGCATCGCTGCTGTCCTCATCTTGAGCCCGAACACGTAACTTGTTCGTTACTTTGGACCCGTGGAAGAAACAAGCCCAAAAAGGACTGAGTGCCCACAGTAGTGTTTCATTGGGTCTCGCCATCACAGGACCTCAACCCTCGAGTTGTCCCAAATTCATCGCACTGGTATCTCAGCAGTGTAACAATATAACTCTGAGCCTTTGCTGTGAGCATCTCGATCATGAGCTCAATTCTGGCAACCCGAAACCCTAAACCCTGAACCCTAAACCCCAGACCCTAAACCCTTAAACCCTAAACCCTAAACCCTAAAACCCTAAAACCCTAAGCCCTAAACCCTGTCTTCGTGCCTTGGGGTTCTGGCCTTGGCCTGTCTTTGGGCCTTCACCTGCAGTGGCGGGGGGGGGGGGGGGGGGGGNNGACGAAATGAACCCTAAAAGGGCTCAAGGTTCATATGCCATATAGGGATTCATAGTACAAGGGTAGTATAGGGCCCGTACTTTTAAGGGGCTTTCGGTCCTTAGGCTTCTGCACGCCTGAGTAGGTGGCTTTTGGCTTAAATCCTAAACCTAAACCCTAAACCCTAAGCTCTAAACCCTAAAGCCTAAACCCTCTAAGCCCTAAAACCCTAAATCCTCCAAGCCCTAAGCCCAAAGCCCTCTAAACCCTGACACGCAAAGATTCTAGGGTCCAGGAAACCCCGGGTTGCCTCGGACATCAAGTTTAGGGTTTAGGGTTTAGGGTTTAGGGTTTAGGGTTTAGGGTTTAGGGTTTAGCTTTGAGTGTGTTGTGCAGTGCCTGCGGCCCCTCCGACATGGTTTAGGGTTTAGGGGTGTAGGGATACATAAGGGACTTGGCCACAAGGTTTACGCTAATGGGATTCTGGCGAGTGTTTTTACGGAGCTCTCAATCAGGAGAATGGGCGAATGCAACCAAGCCATGCAACCAAGCCATGCGTTAGCTGAGGTATGTCTGGCTGCCGCTTTGGTATATCAGCGCCTTGGCGGCACCGAGCGGCTCCAAAAAACACTTGCTACACTTAGGTTACATAGGCTCGGTGTACGGCAGCCCTGGTACTGGACCCTGGCTACTAAACTGAGTCCCGAAAACCTGCGGCCCTCAACTCTACAGAACGGGACGACGTGCCAACCTCTGAACCCCGAACCCCAAGGCCGAGACCTTGAAGCATCTGAGACCTAGCCTGGCTTTATTTTTCGGGTTTAGGGCCCTGAACCCTACATCCTCAACCCTACAACCTCCTTACTTGGATCCCAAAGCCCCGACTGAATGCTGGGCGGGGCCCTGTCCATATGCCGGATAGTTGATTGAAGCCTGTCGTTCGGTTTCTGTGGGCTTTGTTTGAAGGGATCAGGTTGTAAAGTCAAAATCATGTGACCTTAGCTTGCAAGTTGTTTTGGCTCAGGGCTATCATTAGATATGAGTACCTCTACACCTTCGAGTAGGATTACTTAAAGGATCATGGGACTGAGGTTATAAACAATGTAACTATACTTACCACCCCAATTAGGGTACTTATACGCGTACTTACTTAGTCCCAAGATCCTCCAAGTAGTGGAGCCCAAAACCCAGAGCCCCATCACCAAGCTAAGCTGGGCCTGATGCCAACTCGGCAAGGTTCTATCAGGAAGAGCATCGGCGAGTGGATCCAGTTTCTCGTCACTCTCGGTTTCAGAGGGTCAAGGGTATAGGTTCTGGGGTGTTCGAAGAATCACATGGCGCGTATGTGGGTTGTTAGTCAGTTCTTTCATTACGGGTTCTTTAGAGCTTGTGTTTTGTTTTGTGGGGGCGGTCTTGTGTGTTCATAGCTAATCTCGTCTAATCCAACCTAACCGAATCTAGCTAGCGTATCTATACATGTATCGTTAGTTTGTTCTTTCAATTTGTCTTTCTGACCTTGTTCTTTCGCCTTTCTCCCACACACGCACACACTCATTTATTGCGTTATCTCTGTCTCTCTCTCTCTCTCTCTTCTCCACTCTTTGTCTCTGTCTCGCGCAACGAACCAGAAAGCTTCACCCCAACCGCGCCAAACCTGCACTGCAATCTATGTGGACGTTCAGGGGTATTTCAGAGTGCTTTGACTTGGCACTGCAGTTAGTCATCCCGAAAAAAGCCCAAAAGGCCTGAACCCTAAACCCTGAACCCAGATAAGTCTCCAAGTCGAGTTTGCTGAGAAGGACTGCTCAGGATTTGCGTCGATGCTACAACTGGAACATTGCTCGCTATGGGAGCGTCGTGGCATTGTTCTAGTTTGTGTTGGGGTTTGGGGTTTAGGGGTTTAAGGCTTTGGGGTTTAGGGCTTAGAGTTTCTGTTGATATCCAATGCCAAGCTTGGCCTCAACATCGCTAAATCCCAACAGCTGAACCCCCCGATCCTGCACACGCCTCCTGAACTGTTACCCGAAGCGGAGAACCTAATGGCGCAAGCCCTTAGGACTAAACACCCCAACCCTCCACCTAAACCCTAAACCCCAAACCCTAAGCCCTAAACCCTAAGCCTTCTTGAACCAGCACAGAACCGGAAGCTCCATGCCACAGTTCGAAGCCACCTACAGTCTCCATTGTAGTTCCGTTTCTGGGTTTAGGGTTTAGGGTTATACAATTGGTTAAGTTCAATAGAAGGAACTACAACGGAGACTATAGGCAGTTATGCATCCGCGGACACTTCCTGACCCTCTGTGCTTTAGGGTTTAGGGTTCTTGGGTTTGGGTTTCAGGGTTCAGGTGTTGCAGGGCGGGGGGGGATGAACCCTTGAGGGGTTTAGGGTTTAGGGGTTAAGGGTTTAATTCACCCTAAACCCTAAACCCTAAACCCTAAATTATAGCTGCAGATTTTAGTGTGGTCCCTAGATTTGGCTCTATAGCTCGAAGCCTCAGAGTTCCTACGGTGGAGGATCATGGGACTAAGTAAGTAACCCTAAGGGTCCATGTACTCAAATATCATATACTTTGGCCTTAATGTAGCCCCTATATATGTACTTTGGGGTCAAAGTATATACTATTTGGGCACATGGACCCTTAGGGTAAGGTTATAAGTACCTGAATGGGGGTTCTATGTAGTTGTACGTAGAGTTACCTTATTTATTGGCTTAGTTGCGAAGTCCCATGACTCTTGAACTGAACCCACAATTCAGAAATCATAACAGAAATCCTGGGCATGTTGTTATCTACGGGTTACTTACGCCAAACCGCTAAGCCCTGAAACACGAATGCCCGAAAGACTAGCCCTTAAACCTCGAAGCTTCGTCGCTGCCTCTCGGTCTCGGTGCCGACCGTTCGCGAAAAACCCAGGCAACATGGCTGCTGAATGCAGCAATGCCCGGTGGTGGAGGCTCTGTATGCGCGTTGGAAAATACAGGAAACCTCATGGATAATGTAAAGTATCATACTGCAGCCGATAAGTGAGATCTTGGAGCATTGACAGCTTCCTGAATAAGACTGTGCCACATTCTGTCCATGAAAGCAGTGGTAGTTAGTTTCATTAATGCGTTGTATCGCCCGAAGTATGGTGCCTCTACAATGCAGAACGTCGCCAACACGTGGGGTTTTGCATTACCAGCCTGTTTTGACCAAAGGCTTTAGCACGGTAGGGCTTTGGTGTGGCGAGCCTGCTGCTTAGTTTGGGTTTGGGTCTTTAGGTTTTCGTGTTTGGGGGTTTCGGGTCTAGGCGAGGTGCTGGAGGTCGGGATAACTAAAGGTCATATCCCTGTATAGTCAGTATAGCCCCTTTATGATGTAACACATGGTCAGTATAGTGTTGATGGACAAAATTCTGCATGACCCAAATATTATAGTATAGTACCATAAATCCCATAGTCTAGGTATATAGGGTCATGCAGGATTTTGTCCATCAGCCGTAGTCAACATGTGCACCACTGGGTTGCCCAACTTCTGAGACTGGCCCAGTGCGTTCTCGAACCTTCAACCTTATTGCGCATCCAAATTCACCTTTGACGTGCCGTAGAAGCCGACGGTTTAGGGTTTAGGGTTTAGGGTTTTCGACCTGATCCTAAGTTGACATAGTTTGGAACATGAGCCCTAGACCCCAACCCCTCAACCCTAAACCTCTAAACCCAAAACCCCTTAACCCCTTAACTCTAAACCCTAAACCCCTTAACCCTAAACCCCTGAACGCTAGGCATCCAAAGCAAAAGATGACTGCAGGACCCTCTAATGGCGGACTGAAAGATGCATTCTGAGATGCTGCCCTAAACCCTGCCAGGACCCTGAAGAACCTACGTTCCTAAATATGGAGTTCTTATATAAGTCCGTGAAACGGTAGGGTTATTACGGGTTGATGTAAACCCTACAACCCGCTGCACCTTCAGTCCCAAGTTTAGGGTTTAGGCCAAACCGTGAGACCGAACTTCGGAACAAAAACCCCAAGCCGGAAACCTGCTGTAGTATAGGATGGTATGGTATAGTATAGTATGGTATGGTATAGTATGGTATAGTATGGTGTAGTATGGTATGGTATGGTATGGTATGGTATGGTATGGTATGGTATGGTATGGTATGGTATGGTATGGTATGGTATGGTATGGTATGGTATGGTGTAGTATAGTATAGTATACGGTAGCCCGTATCAGGGGGTCTTGGACGTGGGAGCAGCGGCGTTGACCAGGGCTTGTTGCCAGGCTAATCGTGGGTTTTCCGGGTTGTCACGCTCTGAAGCTGTTGGGAGACGAGCATTAAACATGGGGTCTGAGTGACTGGTGACTACTGTTGATCATAGAAATCCTGCATTACCTTAAGGACCCTAAGCTATGTGAATTATTGTACAATCCTTGTTTTGGGTAATGCAGGACTTAGATCGTCAGCGGTAGTGACACTGCTGCTGTACCCATTCTGATTTCGCAGGCCCTGAACCCTAAACCCTAAACCCTAAACTGTATTCAGGTTTGGACATGGGTCTAAGGTTAAAAGTATGGGCCCCTGATATGGACCCCTGGGCCTTTCTAGGGACCCTTAAAGGTACATATAGGGTATATAGTAGGTGTATAAGGATCCCAGGGTTAAGGGCCCATACTAGGGGCCCATGGGTTCAACCTTAGAATGGGGTAACCGAAGAGTTTCGAATTGCATGGTTCTATCCCGGACTTCCCACTCGCTACCTTCGGGGCGTAAGTAAATTCTAGTTGAGCAGACGTGGAGGTGATGGCGAGATTAGGATGCAGTGCCAAGGGTCTAGGGTAGGGGGTTTAAGTATGTTGAGGTTTTTATGCGTTCGGCGTTAAGGTTCCCTAACCCCCCAGGTACCTACGATATAGGGTACTAGAGCCCCTAGGGCCCTGTATAGTAGGCACCTGGAGGGTTAGGGGCTTATAGGCTCAGGATTGAGTCGCCCATGTGACTGTGGGAAAAGAGTGTATACTGCTCAGGTCTAGTGTTGACAGTTCTGGTTGAGTTTGTGGGATACAGTCAGCCCCTAAAAGTTGGAAACATGGGCATGGCGATTCTGATGTTCTCAACTTCTTGCATTTGTTTCCGGGTGGTTGTTTGTGCATTGGGTTGATAGTGTCAACCCCTGGACTCTTAAGCCCTAAACTAGACCTTAATCCTAAGAGTGCTCAAATTTTGTAGTTCTCTGAATTAGGGTCCCTTTTCAGGTCCCCAGTATAGTGCGGCTTCCTCAACCCGAGAAGGGACCCGAAGTTAGAGAGCTACCCAAATCCAAAGCGTTGCAGAAGGCCCTCCGTCCCAAGGATCTCCGAGGAAGCTTGGGATTACGACCTGCAACCCTAAGCCCGACATAAAGCTGACTTCCGTTAATCCGGGTACAGAAGAGGCCCTAAACCGTCGAATTGGAATTTAGGGTTTAGGGTTTAGGGTTTGGGGTTTAGGGTTTAGGGTTTAGGGGGACATTCCGGTATGATGATGTGCGGACTACAAGGGGATGTTATTCTTCAGACCTCTATATAGCAGGCGATGCTGTGGATCCTGCACCCTTGGAACAGAGAGAACCCCAACCCGGTTGTGGAATTTAGGGGTTTCGGGCCACTGAACCCATCATCATCTAGCTTCATGCGGTGTCCTTTCACAGCCCTGTGCTGGAAGTTATTCGACCCGTATGAAAGTATATGAAGGCAAGGTTTTGAGTTGTTGGAAGCTTCGCTGCCATGCTTTGTCTTTCGAAGCACCGAAGAGAATGTTGAACCCTCTACCCTAAGGGTCCATGTCTTCATATGACATATGCTTTGGGCTTTAGGTCGGCACTATGTATGTACCCTGATTAATTATCATTGAATCTGTAGTGATCAGCTTGAGCTTGGGAGTACTAAGCCCTAAACCCTAAACCCTATAGTAATCTATAGTAGAAATACACCGCGACTAAACCGAGAATCCCTAGGCTCTAAAAGCCCTACAGATTCAGATCATGAAGGATCTAAGTCAAACAATTTTGGTGGTATATCATAGTAGGTTTATGTGGGTGCGCTGGGAAGATCCCTAAACCCTATACTTACAGGATCATGGGACTTAGTAGCTGAGGTAATAGGTAAGGTAACTATACCTAGAATTACTTATATCCCCAATTAAGGTACTTATATAACCCCGCTTACTAAGTCCCTAGATCCTCCAAGTAGATCCCAGATCTAAAGACCTTAAACCCTAAACCTAAACCTAAACCCTAAACCCTAAACCCTAAACCCTAAACCCTAATCATGCGGAGCCCGAGCTCCGAGCCAGGAGGCTACGACGAGTCCTTGTGCTTGCTTTGCGCGTCTGCTGGGGCGTATGTCGCTGGGCTTCTTGGAGGGTCGGGGGACTTAGTAAGTAGCTATATTACAGGGTCTCTTTTAGGCCAGTTGTAAGTCTACTTAATGCCTACTTACTAAGTCCCCCGACCCTCCAAGTTTCGTTTTCAACGCTTGAACCCCGAGTCCCTAAACCCTGAGCCCTTCAACACTTGAGCCCCGAATTCTTGCCAGCTCCTTTACACTCGAAATCGAACCCAGGGGCCTTAATAAATAGAACCGGGTTTTCGGGGTACCAGTAGTATACTATAGTTAGAATAAGGAACTCCCCGAAACAGTATTGGTAATTATTTAGGCCCTTAAATTATCCTCAGGGTCCATGTACCCTAATAGTAGATACTTGGACCTTAGTGTAGTCCCTATATGGGAACTTTAGTGTCATTGTACACTCTTACGGATACATGGACCCTTAGGGTTAGTGTTTCAAGCTAGCTCGGGGCTGTCCATTCCCACGGCCTTGACCAGAGGGAAATCCTTTCACTTTCGATGCGTCCTACTTGGAGGATCTTGAGAGTTAGTAAGAGGGTTATAAGTACCCTAATTGGGGTTATAAGTATAGTTACCTTGTTTATAACCTCAGTTACTAAGTCCCACGGTCCCTTAAGTATCAAGCCTCAACCCCATTCGCATGCCAGAAGAGGCATGTTTTGGAGATTTAAACTTAAACCGAACTCCAAACCCTAAGCCGTAAGCCCTCAACCCTAAACCCCAAGCGCTAGGCCATAAGCCCTGGGATTACGAAGTGTTTTCGGTGTTGCGGCTTTTTGGCTGTAGACACTGGGCTTTTGGTGCAGGGCTGCGTTAGAGGGTGTACTGTCAGNNTTAGGGTTTAGGGGTTTAGGGCCCTTAGAGCGTGTACTGTGTAGGAGTCTCTATGCGTGATCTTGATCTGTGACATTAGGGAAGCTTCCTGACCCCAAGAACGAAATTCTACTTAAAGGATCATGGGACTNNTAAGTCCCAAGATCCTCCAAGTACTACAAATTCCCCGACACACTTAAACCTCCGAGGCCCAAGCCCAGAACCCGATTCCCAGGGACGAGCTAGGGGGTACACCGTGATGGGAATCGCGGTATGTTCTCTAATGTGGATCCCTAAACCCTAAACCCCTAAACCCTAAACCCTAAACCCTAAACCCACACAGAGTTGTCGTAGCAGTTCGTGGTTTGCTGCATGTTCCGCTGGAGGCACTTCACAAGTCCAATCTTTGTGGGTTCCGGGCCTTAGCGGCTGAATGAGTGCACCTTACACACTTCGGGGGATTATATAGCCCCTATAGAACTGAAAGTTTGCATTTTTGGCTTGGGTTCCTTGCTGAATCAATGGTTCAGCGTTTAGGGTTTAGGGTTTGGATTTAGGTCTAAGGTAAGGGTTTCGGAGGTGCACGATTTAGGGTTCAGCCCTCTTAAATGGCTCCAAGAAAGTCGGAAAGTTTGGCCTTTTGGAGACATTGCAGCCACCCTCCACTCCCAATACTTAGCAAAACTCCATCCTAACCCCCCAAAACAGGCTCCGTTCGCTCCGAGGCGGTGTGCATGAGCCCCCTGACCACCGACGCGAAGCAGTTCTTCTTCGG